GCATTGACTTTGAGAATGAGTGCGATTATTTGGGCATTCGAACTCGGAAGCGCTGGTATTACCAGAACAATATTCAGAAGAGTATTCAAGCATAGTATTTCGAAAGATGCTGCTAAGGACTTTGACGAATACCCAGAAATGGTTGTAGCAATGATTGTGATAATTATACACGTACTGCAGGTATACGATGTGCTAACAGTTAACTAAATTTGTTTATGGTTAATATCGTAAATAACAATTTTATTTTTATTTTTTTTATATTATAGGATATGTTGATGGCACTTCTTAATCTGAATTTTAAAGGTGCGCTTGGTTCAAAATATAAGCCATAGAAAAAAGATAATACAAATGTTTCTTAATTAGCATGAATTTGGATATATGTAATTTCTCTTTATTTTCATTATAAAATACCAAGTGTCATTGAATTAGATTGTCCACAATGGGTTTTTTCGGAAAATAGTTTCTTTACTAGGCTTTATATTTTGTTGTTGTCATTAATAAATGGAGAAATGCGCTGGAATTTAATTTCGCATTTCATGCACTATTCTCACAACCTTCATTCACCCTTTTTGGAGTACGTTTTGTATCTTTTCATTAGTTTTTTTTGTTTTTTACACGATTGAAAATTATTCACCAACTTTTGGTTTATTATTATTTTACATCTGATTTTTCTTACATATAATGCATATTAAAATTTTTGTCATCATCTATAGAAATCATAACTTAGGGTTGAAAAAGTTATAATTTAATTAAAAATGTTGCGTTAATAATACTTCGTTTTTAATATATTTTTTACACGGCTTACGAATATTACCGGCAATATTTGGTTTGTTATTCTGAAAACACTAAGTGGTTTCTTCGGGTGTAGAGTTTTTGTTAATATCTGCTTGGGGCTAAAAAGACCACATTTAAGGAGAATTTATTAAGAACTACATCATTATCTTTTCGTTATTGTTTAGATCAAATTAATCGTGAGAGAAAATCAATATAAAAAATACACATAATTAAAAGCAAGCTAAAGAATCGTTAAATAAGCTGACTTGATACAACACGGAACAGCAATGGTATCTATTTTTTGTTAAAGCGCCAAATCTAAAAAATTTTTATTAATGAAAACTCATATAATAAAATTATATAATTATTCACTATACTACTACTGTATGCTAATTTATTTATTTTTATTATATAAGATTGTTTATTTTATAAGCTAGCTATAGTAAAGTATCTTTACTAAAATGCATCTATGGTGTATACACAGTATATTTATTTAAGGCAATCTTGAACACAGAGATTAAGACATACAAAACTTAATAAATTGGTTCTCATAACCCGGCCGGGTCATTCTGCAAAATTTTGAAAAAAATTTGACTATATTTACTACTCGGGTGAGTTTTTTTGGATCTTCTATAGTATAGGTGGGCAATATAGAAATATTATAAGATTATAATATATAAAAACCCTAACCCTAACCTAATCTTTATTTAAACTATAACCCTCACCTTAACTCTAACTATTTATAAATATATATATAGTTATTTTTATATATTACGTATAATATATATATATATATTATAATAATTCTATATTGCCCACCTATACTATAGAAGATCCAAAAAAACTCACCCGAGTAGTAAATATAGTCAA